ATGAACAAACAAAAAAAAGAACCACACCATAATGAGCTATTCTGGTGCCAGGGATACTTGAGACATAAGCACAGAAGACAAGAAAGACTCCAAAACATCTACAAGCAACAACTCAGAGGAAAACATAACATGGTACAAAATCAACTAGAATTTCTAGAAAAGATGAAACAAGTGTTTTTTTTAAATTAAAATATTTTTATAAATATAATGATAGTGCTTGAGAAAAAAATGGAAAAAGAAATGAGAGCTATGGGGGAAAGAAAGAAAAGGAAAGGCAATGAACAGCTTGACACAAGAGGTACAAAACTTTGCCCAAGCAACAAATTCCCTGAAAATTTGAATAGACCACATAGAAGCCAATGACTTCACGCATGAGGCAACAAAAATATTTTTAAAAAGTAAAAGAGAAAAAATAGAAAAAACTAAGATACCTCAAAGCAAAAACAATTGACCTAGAAAACAGATCAAGGAGAAAAAACTTTAAGAATCAATGGACTATCCCAACTCCATGACTAAAAAGAACCTAGATATCAGTCATATTTCAAGAAATCTTAAAACTACCCAGAATTCTTAAAACCAGAGGACAAAGTGGAAATAGAAAGTATCCATCAGTCACCTCCTGAAAGAAACTACAAAGTGAAAACTTCCAGAAACATCATAGCCAAAATCCAGAGTTTTCAAAAGAAAGAAAAAATACTGCAAGAAGCCAGAAAGACAAATTCAAGTACCAAAGAAACATAGTCAGGATTACACATGATTTAGTAGCCTTTACAAAGGAGTGGAGAATCAATAATATTATATTCCAGAAGGCAAAGAATATTAAGTTACAGCCTAATATAACTTGCCTAGTAAAACTGAATATAATATTACAGGATAAAATAAAATGAAGCTTGAATGAAATAGAGGACTCCCATGCATTCCTTATAAAAAGATTAGAGCTGAGTAGAAAAGCTAGCAAAAACAAGAGTAAGGAAGAGCATAAAAAGGTAAACATGAGTGAGAAATAATGAAAGATTAAACAAGGTTAAACTGTTTACATTTTTATATGGGGATGATGAGGTCCAGAGGTTTAGGGGAGCCGAGACCCCAAGATCATGACACATAGGTCGTGCCTGAAAGAATTTGACCCAAGCCTTCTTTCAGCCAAAGACAAGGTTTATTAAAGATCCACCATATGAGCACCTATGAGCTATTGGCTAGATTGCAAAAATCTGAGCAGTGGCTAGGTTATAAAAATACTGACATCTTAATGGAGACAAGATGGACCTTATATACAGAAAAACTATGGAGGGATCTAGGAGTGGCCAAGAAATCTATGAGGTAATAGAACTCCAGGGACCTGGACCACATGGCCAAGAGAGAATGGAGCCTAGATAGGATTAAGGGTGGGAAGTGGCCTGGAGCCATAGGGAAGTAAGACAATAGAGGTCTAGGCTAGGCCAAGGGTAACAGAAAATTGGGAGATTGGGCCTAGCCACAATGAAAGGCCAATATGGCCTCAGGGGACCTGAGACCTTCTTGATCAAGTGGGAGAATTCAAGAAGAATCTCTTAGACAAATGGGACCCAAATTCTTTTTGGGGTAAGGGGCAAAGGTCTTGGCTTGGGACCATTCCCCATCAGGAAGATGATACACGTAACTTCTCAGAACTTTATTGTCACCAGGAGTCTAATCAGATAGGACTAAGTGTGATTCTGTTGTATTTGGATGATCTTAAAAGAAAAATGAATGGAGAGGAGAAGAGAATTGCACTGGGAGAGGAGGGAAGTGAGAGGAAATAATGGGAAAAATTATCTGCATAAATGGGATGCACAAAGAGAAGTTTATTCAACAAGGAGGAGGGAAGCACATGCATGTACATGTGGGGTCAGGGGAGAGCAAACCAAATTTGAAACTTACTCTCATTTGACCTGGCTGAAGGAAGGAAGAATAGACATACTCACACAGTACAGGAATGTATCTTACTCAACAACAAAATAAGAAAGAAATGGATTGAAGGAAAAGGAGAGAAAAAGAGGATGTTAAAAATGATTTCTCTTGATAATATGTCTCTTGGAAACTGCAGCCTTCTGCTTCAAAGTTCTTCAGAAGGACTTCTCTGATAATGAGATTGCATTGAATCTTCTTATCTTGGTCAAACTCCAACCTAGGCCTGAATTGATTTTACCTACTCAGGTTTGGGTGAAGACAGACTTCCAAGACTGGGGAGGTGGTATTTCCTTTGATGGTGGGTGATATGGGCCCCTGTGGACTCAGTGATCTAAGGAACCTACCCACCTCCTAGTATGTCAACCAGTTATGGTTGATTGGCACCCCCTTGGGAACACCTACTCTTTGAAGGGCATATAGCACTACACCCCCAAATCCCAAACTGAGCCAGTTTTGGACTGAACTCCCATGAAATGCATGTCAAATGACTTTGAAAAATTTAACTGTGGACACATGTACCCCAATTTCATTTTGTCTTTTTCTTAGAGCAGACTCTGTTTCATATTGGGGTTTGTAGAGTTTAGGGTTCACAAGGGAGGGTAGATTAAGGGAAGCATTAGAAGCAAAACCAACTCTTAAAGGGGGGTAGGGAAAAAAGAAAAGTATATACATACATATATATATATATATATATATATACACATATATATGTATATATATATATATACATATATATGTATATATATCAAATACACAGAAATTCTAACTGTGAATGGGATAGACCCCCCCCCAAAACCCACCAAAACAAAACAAGTGCTCAACAGATAGAAAATCCAACAGTATGTCATTTATGAGAAATACATTAGAAACAGAAAAATGCACACAGAGTTAAAATTAAGGGGTTGGAGTAGAATTTATTACACTTTAGCTGAAGTAAAAAAAGTCAGGAGTGGCAGTCATGATCTCAGACAAAGCAAAAGCAAAAATAGACCCAATTAAAATAGATATGCAAAGAATCTACATTTTTCTAAAAGGTACCATAGACAATGAATTTATAGCAATACTAAACATTATAAACAAATGGCATAGAATCTAAATTCTTGAAGAAAAAGAAAAATGAGTTACAGGAAGAAATAGACAATAAGATTATAATGGGTGGAGACATTGATTTATCCTCTCAGGCCTAGATAAGGTGAACAATAAAAGAAAAAGAAGAAGAAAATAAAGAAGTTAAGGAGATAAAGATAATTTTAGAAAAGCTTGATATGATAGACCTTTAGAGAACATTGAAAGGGAATAGAAGGTAGTATGCCTATTGCTCGACTCCTCATGGCACTTTCACAAAAACTGACCATGTATTAGGGCATAAAAACCTCAAAAGTGAATGCAGAAAAGTAGAAATATAAAATATAATTTTTAATGACCATAATGCAATAAAATTACATTTTATAAGGGCCTTTGAAGCAAAGATAAAAAGTTAATTGAAAACAATAACTAAATAAAAAATTAGTGGGTCAAAGAAAAAATCATACAAACAATGATAATTTCATCAACGATGTTGACAATAATGAGACAATATTTCAAAAAGTGTGGGCAGGCAGTCAAAGCAGTAATTAAGGGAAATGTTAAATCTCTAAACTCTTTCATCACTGAAATAGAAAAGGAGTAGATCAACAAGTTGGGTATTCAACTAAAAAAAACTAGAAAACTGGCAAATTAAAAACCTTCAATTGAAAATAAAAATTCTGAAACAAAGTAGAGATGAACTGTATTAAAAGTAAAAAAAAAGTTGAATTAATAAAGAAAACCAAGAGTTGTTTAAAACAACAACAAAATAGATAAACCATTAGCTAATTTGAAAAAAATAAAGAAAAAACAAATTACCCTTATGAAAAATTAAAAAGGTGAATTCACAACAAATTAAGAAAAAATAAAAACACTTATTAGGTACAATTTTGCCCAACTATAAGTGAATAAAATTGGCAATCTCTATGATATGGATGAACATTTACAAAAAAATGAATTATACAGGTTAATAGAATCTGTATACATAATTATATATAATTAACAGCATTAATAGGAAATGTAATATGTAAATAACACTATCATAGAAAGAGAAACTGAAAAAGTAAAAAAAAAATGAGCTCCCAAGGGAAAGAACCTCAGGACCAAATGGATTTAAAAGTGAATTCTACCAAAATTTAAAGAATGATTAATTCAAACACAACCTGAACTGCCTCAAAAAATAGGTAAAGATGGGATCCTAACAAATTCCTTCCATGATACAAACATGTTTTTCATATCTAAAACAGGAAGAGTTAAAAGAAAGAAAGAAAATTATGGATCAAATTCTCTAATGAATGTTGATGCAAAAAATTTAAATAAAGTATTAGCTAGTAGACTACATCAGTATAACACAAAGATCATATATTATGCCCAGGCTAGATTTATACCAAGAATGCAGGGCAGGCTCAATATCAGTATAATTATGAGCATAATTGACCGTATCAATGACAAAAAGAATAAAAATCATAAAATTATTACAATAGGTACAGAAAGAGCTTTTGACAACCTGTAAGACCCATTCCTGTTAAAAACATCAGAAAGCATCGGAACAAATGAAGCTTTCTTTAAGTGATAAATAAGTAATATCTATCTAAAACCAAGAGCCAGCATCATACATAATGTGGTTAAGCCAGAAGCTTTTCTAATAAAAAGGTAACCATGTCAGATATCCATCATCATCATTAGTATTCAATATTATGTTAATTAGTCTGGCAGAAACTAGGTAGAGGCCAACATCACATAGCAAAATAAAGTCAGAATAGGCATGTAATTTAGACATAAAGAGTGACATCATAATTAAATTACTGGAACATGGAAGAAATTTTCTTTCAGCTCTATGTATAGGGGAAGAATTCATGATCAAATAAGAAAGAAGGGTTCATAGGTGGTAAACTGGAATAATTTTGATTGCATAAAATTAAAAAGTTTTTCACAAAACCAATGTAGGTAAAATTAGAAGAAAATCAGGAAACTAAGAAAAATCTTTTTTTTCTATTTTTTTATAGGCAATCAGGGTTAAGTGACTTGCCCCAGGGTCACACAGCTAGTAAGTGTCAAGTGTTTGGTCTGAGGCTGGCTTTGAACTCAGGTCCTCCTAACTTCAGGGCTCGTGCTCTATCCACTATGCCACCTAGCTGCCCCGGGAAAAATCTTTGTGGTAAGTTTTTCTAACAAATGTTTAATTTCTAAGATATTTAGGAAACTGAGTCAGATTTACAAGAAAAAAAAGTCATTCACCAATTGATTAATGGACAATGTATATAAACAGATAATTTTCAGACAAAGAAATCCAAACCATCAATAGCCATGTGAAAAATAATGCTCTAAATTGCTAATATTTGGAGAAATGCAAATTAAAACAACTCTGAGTTCCCATTCCACACTCATCAGATTGGCTCAGGTGACAAAAAAAAATGACAAATGCTGGAGAGACTGTGCAAAAATGAGTACACTATGCACTGTTGATGGGACTGTGAACTAGTCCAACCATTCTGCAAAGTCATTTGGAATTAAGCCACAAAAGCTGTTATACTCCGCATTCTGATGCAGCAATGCTGCTCCTAGGTCTACACCAGAGACCAAAGAAAGAAAAAAAGGACCCATTACATGCAAATGTATTTATAGTAGCCATTTTTTTGTGTGTGGTGCCAATAGAAAATTGGAAACATCTCTTCAAAATGCCTATAAATTGAAGAATGTCTGAACAAGTTATAGGTATATAAATGCAATGGAATACTATTGTGCTGTAGGAAATGATGAAGGGGACAATTCCAAAAGACTCATGATGGAAAATGCTATCCCCATCTAGAGAAAGAACTATGGAATCTGAATGCAGATTGATGCATACTGTTTTCACTTTTGTTTTTGTTTTTCATGGTTTTTCCTTTTCTGTTTCTTCTTTCACAACATGACTAATGTAGAAATATGTTTAACATAATTGCACATGTATAACTAATATCAGATTGCTTGCTTTCTTAGTGTGTGTGGGGGGGGGGAAGGGTGGGAGGGAGAAAAATTTGGAACTAAAAATCTTATAAAAAAATGAATGTTGAAAACTATCATTACATGTAATTAGAAAAAATAAAATACTATTTACAAAAAAAAAAAAGAAATGATGAATGGAATGGTTTCAGGAAGAACCTGGAAAGACTTGTATGAACTAATGCAAAGTGAAATGAACAGAACCAGGAAATTAATAGCAATATTGTAAAGAAAATCAACTTTGAAAGACTTAGTAACTTTGATCAACACGGTGGCCAATCACAATTCCAAAGGCCTAATGACAAAACATACTGTCCACATCCAGACAGAGAACTGATGGACTCAGAAAGCAAATTTAAAGATATTTTCTTCTCTTTCTCACTCCCTCCCTCCTCCCCTCACTTCCTTCCTTTTTTTTTTTTTAGATGGCTAATGTGTGGATTTGTTTTGCATGACTATACATATTTGTAATGAGTTTTCTTTTTCTTGCCTTCTCAATGAGTGGGGTAGGTGGAGGATAGAAAGGGAATTCAAAATTGAAAATGAAATAAAATTGAATTTAAAAAAGAGAACAGATTCCACGTACATTTCACTGGAGACCTTCTCAGTTGAAACCAAACAATTAATGACTACTCTTTGCCTCCAGTTAGTCAACCAATTACAGATCTGTATAATTTTACTTTCATCTGAACCACATCTATCCGTCTTTTCCACAAGAATAGGATGAGACTTGGTCAAATGTTTTTCTAAAATTTGGAAAAATTCTACCAACAGGTTTTCCTTGATTTGCCAATCTAATAACTCTGTCAAAAATCCAACAGACATTTAAAAGTGGCTATGATGTTCAATGACCTTTGTTAGATAATATAGGTAGAAGTATGAATTTAAAATATTTCTTACCCTTGGGGAGCATACATTCAACTCAAGGAATATAACATCCCAGCAGAAGCAATACCAGTTTAGATATGAACTTGGTGGGATCAATGCTATGTAGGAATTGAGCTAAATTCTGAGCCAAAATCTCCCTCCCCCCACTCACAGTGTGTGCTTGTGTGTGTGTGTGTGTGTGTGTGTGTGTGTGTGTGTGCTGATGGGGATTATGCCCTGAGGTGTTGGAAGAAATTCTTGTGTGTTTCTTCTTATTATATGTTTGAAGCATTTATACCTTTGTAAAAACCAATTGGTGTTAAGTGGTTAAATGGAACTGAGATGATAGTCATTGGGACCCTAAAAATGGAGGGGAACATAGCTTGAACATAGCATAGTGGAGACTTGATCTGATAGCAAGAAAATAAATTCCTACTAACTCCATAGAGTGCCTTAAAACTATGAGAGACATAGGTAATAGGCCTGGCCCTAAGAAAGTGGATCAGAGCATACATGTTATATGACAATATAGACATCTGAGAGTCATCTATATAGATGTGATGATTGGACCCATGGGAATTGATGATCAGATCATCAAGAGAGGGTAATGAAATAGAAAAGAATGGAGCCAAAGTGGGGCAGAGCCAAGATGATGGAGTAAAAGCAGTGACTTGCTTGAGCTCTCCCTGAAACCCCTCCAAATACCTATAAAAAATGGCTCTAAACAAATCCTAGAGCACAAAACCCACAAAAAGACAGAGTCAAATGCATTTTCAGCCCAAGACAACCTGGAAGATCGGCAGGAAAAATCTGTTGTGCTGGGCTAGGAGAGGAGTGCAGCAGTTCAGTGTGAGCACACAGGCAAACACCAGCCCTCAGAGAACCTGCAGCAGGCCTCAAGGGACTGAATCACAGGCAGCTGAGGTGGTTTCTAGACTTATCAACCCACAAACACCAAAGACAAATTCAAAGGTCAGTAGGAAGGGTCTGTTCTATGGTGACGGAGGCACCACTCCTGGCACAACCCTGGGGTGGCAGCTGGCTCACAGACTGAGGGGGGATTGAGCAGCTGATCAGAGGGAGATTGTAGGGATCTCCTTGCTAGTGCTGAGGCAGGATTCTCTTGCTTTGCCTGTGCTTGGATGCGGGTCACAGTTCTGGGTAGCAGTCTGGGGGCAAGGAGGAGTGCTGGCTTGGTGGAGCTTGTGGTAGCCTTGGAGAGGGAATCCTCCTCATGGTTCTAAGGCAGAAAAGAGTGCTTGTGGTCACTCATAGACCAGAGTACAGGCCAGAAAAGGAGTAAACACCTCACCTTGAATCATAGCACCTTGAAAGAACTGAAAAACTACAGGTCCCTAGAAGTATTTCTGAAAATAGCTGCACAAAACCCCTAAAGCTTGGGACAGTATCTTCTCCACACTTGAAGCAGACAAAGAGTTTATAACTCGAGTAACTGGCTGGGATCAAGAGCAAACTGCACAAAAAAAAAAGTCAGACCATAGAATCTTTGGTGACAAAGAAGATCAAAACATACAACCAGAAGAAGGCAACAAAGTCTAGGCTCCTGTATCCAAAGCCTCCAAGAAAAATATGAGTCAGTCTCAGGCCACGGAAGAGCTCAAAAAGGATTTTGAGAAACAAGTAAGGGGAGTAGGGGAAAAACTGGGAAGAGAAATAAGAGTAATGCAAGAAAATCATGAAAAACTAGTCAACAGCTGGCTAAAGGAGACCCAAAAAATACTAAGAAAATAACACCTTAAAAAATAGCCTCAGGGGCAGCTAGGTGGTGCAGTGGATAGAGCACCAGCCCTGGATTCAGGAGGACATGAGTTCAAAGAGCTCCAAAAAGCTGATGAGGAGAACAATGCCCTAAAAAGCAGAAATGGCCAAATGGAAAAGTAAGTCTCAAAGCTCATTGAAGAAAATGCTTCCTTGAAAATTAGAATAGAGCAAATGGAAGCTAGTGACTTTATGAGAAATCAAGACAGTATAAAACAAAACCAAAAGAACGAAAAAATAGAAGACAATGTGAAATATCTCACTGGAAAAACAACTGACCTGGAAAATAGATCCAGGAGAGATAATTTAAAAATTATTGGACTACCTGAAAGCTTGATCAAAAAAAAAGAGCCTAGACATCATCTTTCAAGAAATTATCAAGGAAAACTGTCCCGATATCCTAGAACCAGAGGGTAAAATAGAAATTGAAAGAATCCACCTATCACCTCCTGAAAGAAATCCCCAAAGGAAAACTCCTAGGAATATTATAACTAAATTCCAGAGTTCCCAGGTCAAAGAGAAAATATTGTAAGCAGCCAGAAAGAAATAATTCAAGTATTGTGGAAACACAATCAGGATAACACAAGATTTAACAGCTTCTACATTAAGGGACCACAGAGCTTGGAATACAATATTGGAGGGCAAAGGAGATAGGATTACAGCCAAGATTCACTTACCCAGCAAAACTGAGTATAATCCTTCAGGGGAAAAAATTGACATTCAGTGAAATAGAGGACCTTGAATCATTCTTGATGAAAAGACCAGAGCTGAATAGAAAATTTAACTTTCAAATACAAGACTCAAGAGAAGCATGAAGAGGTAAACAGGAAAGAGAAATCATAAGGGACTTACTAAGGTTGAACTTTTTACATTCCTACATGAAAAGATGATATTTGTAACTCATGAGTCCTTTGTTAGTATTAAGGTAGTTAGAGGAAAAAAATATATGGATAGATAGATAGACAGATAGATAGAGGGCATAGGGTGAGTTGAAGATGAAGGGATGATATCCAAAAAATAAAATTAAGGAGTGAGAGAAGAGTATAGTGGGAGAAGGAGAAAGGGAGAGGTAGAATGGGGTAAATTATCTCACATGAAACAGACAAGAAAAAGCTTTTACAGTGGAGGGGAAGTGAGGAAAGGTGAGAGGGAATGAGTGAATCTTATTTTCATTAGATTTAACAAGGAGGGAATAACATACACACTCAATTGGATATGGAAATCTATCTTACCCTACAGGAAAATAGGGGGGAAGGGGATAAGAGGGAGGGAGATGATAGAAGGGAGGGCAGATTGGGGGAGGGGCAATCAGAAGCAAGCATTTCTGAGGAGGGACAGGGTCAAAAGAGAGAATAGAATAAACAGGGTATGGGATAGGACGAAGAGAAATATAGTTAGCTTTTCACAACATGACTACTATGGAAGTGTTTTGCATGACTACACATGTATAACCTGTATCGAGTTGCTTGCCATCTCAATGAGGGTGGGAGGCAAGAAGAGAGAGAATTTGGAACCCAAAGCTTTTAAAACAAATGTTAAAAATTGTTTTTACATGCAACTGGGAAATAAGATATACAGGCAATGTAGTATAGAAATCTATCCTTCTCTACAGGAAAATAGAAGGGGAAGGGGATAAGAGAAGGGGAGGTGATATAAGGAAGGGCAGATTAGGGGAAGGAGTATTCAGAATGCACACTGTCTTGGGTTAGGGGAGAGGAGAGATGGGAGAAAATTTGGAACTCAAAATTTTGTGGAAATGGGAATTTTAATAAAAAATTAAAAAAAAAAGAATGGAGCCAAAAACAAAGTCTTGAAGAGGTGAGGATTAGATGACAGTCCTTCAAAGGGAAAAGAGATTAAGATTAGATAGGAAGGAAGAGAATCAAGAGAGAAGTATCATAAAAATCCATGGAGAACAGAAGGTCCAGGTAAAGAGGGTTGTCAGGAGTGTCAGATGCCCCAGAGAAGTCAAACAAGATGAAGATTGAGAAAAGGTCATTGTATTTAGCAATTAAGACATCGTTAGTAACTTAGGAGAGGGCAGTTTCAGTTGAGTGGGGGAGATTGGAAGCCATATTGTAAAGAATTGTAAAGTGAATGGGAGTGAAGGAAATGGAGGCGATGGATATAGATAACATTTTTGAAGAGGTTAGCTATGAATAGAAGGAGAGATAAGGATGATAATGAGAAGTTATCAAGAGAATATATGTTTTTTTTAAGTATAGTGATATATGTGCTTGCTTATGGGCCTTAGAGCATGAGCTAGGGAGAGACTGAAGATTAGACAACAAAACGGAATGATTGGGGAAGCAATTTACTGGAAGAAACAAAAAAAAAGAATGCTCATTCATTGTTTTGCGTGCATTTATCTATCTAAGTTTTACTGATGATTTTGTTTTTATATCACAGTAATTTCTAGATGTACTACTGCTTCTCTTCCTCACCTTAGGAGCCTTCCTTTGCAACAAAGAAAAGCACCTGACATGATGACCACATCCAACAGTAGTGCCACTATTCTTTCTTCTATCCAAGGAAAGGATGGAGGTACATTTCCTCATCTGTTCTCCAGAGACAGGATTGCTCATTATAACTACATTGTGCTTAACTTCATTTTTAGCATTCTTTTCATTTAAATTATTGTAGCCATTGTATACATTGTTTTCTCATTTCTGCTCACTTCCTGCTGCAGCAGTTCATTCCTAAGATACATAAGTCTTCCCATTTTCCTCAGAATTCCTCATATTTTTTTCTAGTGGCACAATAATAATCCATTGTCAGGTACCACAATTTATATAGCCACTCCCCAGCTGACAAGCACACATTTTGGTTCCAATTTTTGTTTTTGTGGAGGTTTTTGCTACCACAAAAAAAAATGCTCTTGTGAATACTTTTGTATATATTGTATCTTCATTTCTATCTTTGCTCTTCTTGGGATATGTGCCCCACTTTGGAATATCTTCCAGGTCAAGGATATAAACAGCCTAATGACTTTTCTTGCATAATTCCAAATCATTTTCCTATAATGGTTGGACAAATTCACAGCTCCACCACCAATGGTTTAGTGTGCCATTCTTCCTTCAGTTCTTCCGACACTGACTATTTTTGTCTTTAGTCATCTTTGCTAATTTGCTCGGTATAACGTAGAATCTCAGGGTTGTCTTAATTTGCATTTCTCTTATTATTAATGATTTAAAGCCATCTTTTTGTTGTTCATATTTTTCCTTATAGTGTTTAAAAATGATCTAGCACAGCTTTTTATTAAGATTCAAAGAACTCACAGTGTGCATGAACAAATGTGGGAAACAAAAACACTCCAATAGCTCATTATTTTCCTTATTATACTCCTTCCATGAGGTAAAGATACTTTACAATGACTTCATACCACCTATTTACCTCAGACCTACACCACATGAACAACTCACAGTGAAATCATGGAGAGTTGGCAAGGTCCAAAGCTCCTGGATCGTCACGGCATGGCTTTAGCCTTTCACCTACAGGGTGACCCTGTTTGCCGTTCTCTTCTTCCTCCTCTGAAAAGTGTGTTGTTAAGACAATCTGTCTTGGGGTGATTGGTGTCCACCTCTTAGAACTCAGGAAGGCTTAGAACTCTAAGGATTCTCAAACTCAGGTTTACCCATGAGGTAACTCCAAGGCTGAAATGTCCATTATTACAATTGCTAGTCTCTGCCCTGTTCTCTGAAAAGGTGACAGGAAGAATGGCAGAGGAAAGCAGCTCAGACTGAGAGGGGGAATAATTCCCCTCTCATATGGAATGCATCCCACTGCCTTGTGTTCCTACTTTAAGATGCTTTTGCTATTCTTTTTGTAGATGGGTTGGGGCATGGTGGTAGTAGATAAACTATCCCCATTCCCCCCTGCCCCATCTGTACTCTAGTCTGGGAGTCCAAAGCAGAAAAAATGAACAAAAATGATCCCTCCCCATAGCTTTCAGCTGGAGCTACTCAGACTTCATGAAGTCCTAGATAAAACCAATGATCACTATGTTAATTTATAACCCTCTTGACCATGACAAGGAGTTTGGAGAGCAGTAACATGTGTACCCACTGAAAGCACAAGTGAATCTTCCATTGAGCCTGTGTATCCTCTGAAAGAACCTATGCAACCTTTGTGAGAGGCTCATCCATCTTCAGAAAGAACCTGAGTATCCTCTGTGAATCTTCTGTGTTGCACTTGTTCATCTTTTTTATTTCCTTTTTGTTTTTTGGAGGCAATTGGGGCAATTTTTTTTTGCAAGGCAATCGACACAAAATTGACTTGTCCAGTGTCACACAGCTATTAAGTCTCAAATGTCAGGCCAGATTTGAACTCAGGTACTCCTGACTCCAGGACTGGTGCTCTATCAACTGTGCCACCTAGTTGCCCCCACCTGTTCATTTTTTGCTAGACCTGTGCATTCTCTGCAATAACCTGGACATCCTTCATGAATCTGTACAACCTCTGTAAGTGTTCTGTCCCCTTTGTCTCTTCTGCAGAACCTGTGCATTCTTTACAGAGAGGCATGAATTCACTGGAAGTACAGGCATATTTTCAGTAGAGCCTGGGCACCCTCCTTAAGGGGTTCTCTATATTCTCCATCAAGGGCCTGGGCATCTTTCAGGGCCTTTCTGTTCTCTGTACATCCTCTATAAGAACCACTACATACACTGTAAAGAGACTGTGCTCCATGTATAACCTGTATTGCATTGGTTGCCTTTTCAATGAGGGTAGGTGGGGAGGGAGGAAGGGAGAAAATTTGGAACCCAAAGTTTTAAAAACAAATGTGAAAAATTGTTTTCACATGCAACTGGGAAATAAGATATACAGGCAATGGGGTACAGAAATCTATCCTGCCCTACAGGAAAATAGAAGGGGAAGGGGATAAGAGAAGGGAGAGATAGAAGGGAGGGCAGATTAGGGGAAGGGGTATTCAGAGTGCACACTGTCTTGGAGTGGGTGGAGGGGTAAGATGGGGAGAAAATCTGGGACTCAAAATCTTGTGGAAGTGAATGTTGAAAACTAAAAATAAATAAATTAATAATAAAAAAATAAAAATGAGAGAGAGAGAGAGAGAGAGAGAGAGAGAGAGAGAGAGAGACTGTGCCTCACCAGGGCTCTACCTCACTCTAGGAAGCATTCTGTACAGAACTTGTACATTCTCTGCATACTTCTATGTAGCCTTGCTCAGGGTCTGTGTATTCTCTTTGTAGATTCATACCTTCTCTACTTGGCTTGTGTATTCACTATAAGAACCTATAAGTCTTCTTTAAATGCTTTTATGTGCTTTGCGGAGATCTGTGAATCCTCCCCAAGAACCTGTGGAGTCTTGCCAGGTCTCAGGGTTTAGGGTGGGCCATGTGTCACTGTGGGGTTTTGGGAAGGGAACACAGTGATATGACCTCAGGGACACCTGGGGCAAACACATGCCAGCCAGTTGGAGGGAATGGGGGCTGTGGTGGAGACATTTGGGACTTATAATCATACAGACATACCTTGATGCCGTGATATCCCTGAAACCTTGTTAAGTTTGGACTCAGACTCTCTGGCCCCAGAACAAGTGGGGTAGGATAGAGGAGACAGTATTACAGATGAGAAATGGGGGCCTTGAGGAAGGCCTCCAGTAAGGTAGAGCCCTTGTAAAGCTGAAGAGACCAATGTCAGGCCTTACACTGGCCAATTCATTGGAGGCTTCCTAGCTTTTTCCATACCCAGGTGTCTTTTTGGACAAGCTACTCCCATTTCCAGTTACTTGAGGGGATAAAAACCCTTTAAGTAGTTGAAACATTGTCATGGGGGGAGGGAGAATTAGACTTGGTTCTCTTGGTTCCAGAAAGCAGAACTGGATAGAAGTTTCAAATGGGCAGATTTTGACTCTCTTATCTATCTGATCCATCCCTCATTCTCCTGCCATACTAATCATCCTTTTGTCCAAAGCCAAGCTCTTTATCTTTCTTCCCCAAACCTAATCCTTCTTTTGACTTTGATAATCTGTCTATGGAATCACCATTTACTCTCTCTCCAATGTTGGCTCCTTCCCATTAACTTTAACTCTTTTCTTTTCCCCATCATTTATGTACAATAAATTAAAGTTCTCCCCCTTTTATTCCAGGCCTTCTGGAATATTCAAAGATTTTTGGGTCTTTCTTAACACAGGCTCACATTTTATGGACACAGAATGACTGGGAAAAGCTCAGAGGCCATTGTCACATGCTGGGATTGGTGGCATTAAGGAAGGCTTAGAGCAAGGTTTGCCCACTGCTGAGTAAACCTGAGAAACATCAGGAAAGATCATGGACAAACTCAATAGAATGTTCTTGGCTTGGTCAATTTTTCTATCTATAAAGTCTTTTTAGAAAGAAAATCTGCCACATATTCCAGTCACTTGAGAGGAGGAAAGAGTTTCACTCAGAATCAAATCAGTGGATCAGGGGGGATTCACATCCTAGAGGAGACCACTCACCTCATTGCTAGAGGTCTGTTAGAGAGGCCCAAGTGGATGACCAACTACATGTGTTGTAGGAAGGATGAGATTGTTCAGTTTCACTCCTCACCTTTACCCTATATATGGCATCAGTCTTTTCTACCTACACAACCTCTCTCACATCTATCTCCTTCTCTCTAATCATACAGCTACTATCTCAGTTCAAAGGGTGTATGAGATGTTCAGGGAGGACTAGCATCTTTGGTGTTAGGGTGTTTCAAATGCTTTTCAGGGCTGCTCAGTCACCTTTGGTGTCCACCTGTCATCCAGCTTTCACTGGTGGATCTAAGAAGCTGTAGCAAGCACAGTGGCCACACTATAGTAAAACTGTCTTGTGGTCTAAACAGGTTGAGGGTAACCAACAGGCCTCATATCCATCGGTGAGATAAGGGGATGTCTACCCCAAGCATGTGAAGACTTCTCCCAGTGGAATAGAATGTTCTTGAGATGAGAATAATTTGTTCCAATGGCCACGAAGGTGACTGAAACAGGTATGATGAAGCAGTTAGAGCTTGGTTAGACATTGAAGATGCCAAAGTCATCCACTCATTCCAGGCCATCACCAGTCATCCTGACTTTTGTCTTGCCACTGGACTTGATGACTCTGAAAGAGAGTGAAGCTGACTACTTTGTGCAATTCTGCCTCACCAAAATCCAATTCATGTGCAAGTCAAGATATCATCCTTGTGATCACTATTGGCCTTCTCTGAAAATGAAGGACAAACAACAACCTAAATTCAGGCCTTTTGTTAACCATCCAGTGACTTACAAGTGCCTCACTTCATCCCAATATCAAATATGAACTAAGAGAATGCAGACGTTAGAGGCATTTTAACTATACTTCTGATGCTGGGAGGTTCCCCAGATGCAGTCTCTTTCCCAAACTCTAGTCCCACATCACCAGTTGGACATCTTAACTTCCATGTCTCTTATATATCTTGAATTCAACATGGCCAAAACATAACTTGGTTCAGGCTTGGCATTTGACTATTCCAGTTGCCTCTAATCTCCTGAACAGGTAGGTGGGATGGACATAGAGTAAGGAGGGGCAGTCCATCCATGGTTTTTCCTGGGAAAGAGGATCTTTATCTCCTTATCCCTCTATACCCCAGCCTTCCCTGGCCTTCTGTGCATGTCCAGACACCAGCTTCAAGACCTATCATCTATCAGCCTATTCTGGCTCCAGATCCTTTTCTAAAAAGGTGAGATGAGAGGTATGCAGAGCACAGAGCAACTGGAAAGGGGAAGGTTGTTGGAAGGATCCAGGGAATTCCAGGACTCATGGTTGATCCTGGAGTTGGAGGATATGTCCCTGATTTTGGCCTATAGTTTCCTTTCCATGTTTTTATCTTTCCCTGATTTAGGTATCAGACTATATTTGTTTCATAACAGTGTTCTGGTATGGTGCTTTCTTTCTCAAATTTTGAAAATAATTTCTGAAGTATGGGTATTAACTGTTCTTTCAGAGACTGATAGACTTCTCTTGTGAATCCATCTGAACCAAAAGAGTTTTCTTTGGTAGTTCCTTTGCAGTATATTTGTTTTCTTTTCTGAGATTGAGTTGAGATCTCTACCTGGTCTTCTTATAGATCAAGTACTTAATATTTTTGAAGGTATTCCTTTATTTCTTTTATGTTCTCAATTTTGTTTGTTTTAGAAAAACCTGGGAAGACTTACATGCACTGATGCAAAGTGAAGTGAACAGAACCAGGAGAACCCTGTACACAGTAACAACAATATTGCAATGATGATTAGCCGTGAAGCTACTTTGATCAATACAATGATCCAAGATAATTCCAAAGGACCCATCATGAAAAATGTTATTCACCTCCAAAGAGAGAACTGATGAACTCTGCAGATCAAAGCATAACTTTTAAATTTTCTTTGTTTTTCTTTCTTTTTTTAATATGACTAACATGGAAATGTTTTGCATGACTTCACAAGTATAACTTACATCATATTGCTTGTATTCTTAAGGTGTGGGGAAGGCGTAGGAGCGAGAGAGAAAATTTGGAACTCAAGATCTAAAAAAAGAATGTTAAAAAATAAAATCAATGAATCACAAAAAATCATGTGAACTCCTGATGATCTGGAATTCATCAAACTGGAGTTGGAAAACCCTTCCTGAATGCTCCATGAGCATCTGCAGAGTCTTTGCAGGAACATCAGGGTCCCCTCAGTGGTTCCCTGAAATATTTCCAAACACCTTGGGAGGATTAGTTGGCTCAAATGTTCCCAAACCCCACAGGGAGTTACATCAATGCAAATATCCACACCCTGAAACACTGGTCAGTCATAGCGTGGACAAGTGCCCACCAAGACAAGGTCCAGAGGAAACATGTAGCTGGGTCATCTCTGGGCAACTGTAGTTGGTTCTTGAGGTACTCCAATCCTTCTTGACTGTTGTTCAGTCTATGACCAGATCCCCTAAAGGATCCCAGGGTGCTTTCTCTTTCAAGCCTCTTCCTGTCTTACCTGGCTTAACCCAGGGATAGATCAATCAATCTCATACAATGGAGTTGGTAACTTGCAGCCACCTCAGAAGCCATGTGGAGGACTGATCTGAGGCTCTGCAAAAGTGAAGCCCTTCCCAAATGTCTAGCCTGCCTGGAACCTTGCTGTGAAGTTGATCTAGGATATATATCCTGAGGTCCCTTACACTTGTCTGAAGACCTGACCCTGAGCTTCGTGACCTTAATGAGTTCTCATGGGCTCAACTCCAGGGACTCTCACCTCACTTCCTGTCACCCTTATGTTCCTCCACCCTTCCTAAGGACCATTCTCTGAAGACAAAGGGTTTAGGTTCCTTCCTGTGTCACCGTGAGCAACTCTGTGGGAAAATTTTGGTCCTGGAACAGAAGTGACAGTGTTACCATGTAAGTTTCCTTGTTTTCAGAGAATGGGTACAGGGGTGGGGAAAGCTTGGCAGGGGGATCTCACTCCATTGAATCACAAGAGGGCTACAGGGATAGGGGAGAGCTTTGGGTTGGATTGATGGTTCCAGTCATGCTATGTCCTGAATAGTGGTGGTGAGTTTCTGTGGCTAACACTATTTTCAGATAGACCCTCTCTCTTTGCCCAGTCCAGGAACTTTCAGTCCTGTCAATCTCCCCACACCCATGAACCCCTATCTCCCTAGCCTTGGAAATCTTCTGATGCTCAGAGCTTCTGATAATCTGGGAAGCCTCTGGACCCAGGGACAGCTCCTATGAATCCAGGACCAACCTTGACCCTGTGATTCCCTGGATCCCACCAACAACCTTGACCTTTCCTGCTGCCATGGGTCTTTTGTCCCCCATATTCTTCACTACCTAGGTCTGGGGTCGAGGTGGGAAGATAGATTATGTTTGGGGTATGAGGCAGTGTAGGGGAATCAAAGCTCTATGTCCCAGGAGGAGGCATGGATGGACTGCTCCTACTTACTCTACCCCCAATTCTGCTTCATTCAGTGGAACAGACAGTGCTGACGGAGTCAGGGGGAGGCCTCCACAAAACTGGAAAGACCCTGAACCTCAAATGCCAAACCTCTGGTTTCCAGTTCAAGACAAGCAAACTTGGCTGCTACTTTTGGGACCCTGGCCATGCCCCACTGTGGTTGGCCAGTCTCGACAGTAGTTCTACAGATGCTACTGAAGACCGAATCACTGCCTCCAGGAAGGACACTGGCAGCTGGATTTTCCTAAAGATTGAGGGCCTGGGCCTCAGAGATTCTGGCCAATACCACTGTGCAAGGGGGGTGGTCAATGGAGATGACACAGACAAATTGGTCTTTGGTAGTGGTATAGATGTGACTGTGGAGCCTGGTGAGTACCTCTACTATCCCAGTCCTAAAAAAAAATCCTAAGACTTCAGGTCACATAGTCAGTCAGTGTTGGGTCTAGAACAGAAGCAGAGTCCCCCATCTCCCAGTCTCCTCTTTCTACCACAATGTACTCTATGATCATGCATAGCTAACATTCCCACTCTGAGCTGAAATCCCTGGAGATGGATTATGGTAAGTCATTAAAGGGCTTTGGGTTCATATCATAAGACCCACGGACTGGGACACACAGCAATAGGTATCTGAGATTTGTCAACACAGTGACAATCAGGAGTTGAGAGAGTGGGGAAGGGAAAAGGAGACTCTGGTCTACGGGGCAGCACAGGCATGAGTTGGGGACATGGGAACCAGGCTGAAGCTGGGGCTTGGGGCAGGAAATGAGACTGAGGTTTGTTTTTGACAGTTGCTTGGTCACATGAATTTGTTCCCCACATATAGGTCCAGGCTGAGGTTAAGGGGGGGTAGGAAATTTAGGGCTAAAGTTTGTTTTTCACAGTTATATGCCTGTCATATGTGTGCCTTTCCCACATCTGGGACTAGGTCCAGATAGGGGACAGGAAGCCATCATTTGATTGCAGGACCTCGAGCTCCCCTGTCACCCAGTGTGTTCTTGGTGAGAGGTCAGAATGCTGTGGCCTGCCTGATCAGGAACTTCTACCCCAAGGAACTCCATGTGTCCCTGGACTCCCCTGTGCCTTTGCTCTCAGCCCAGGCTCTTACTCTGGTTCCCATGGCCAATGGCACCTACAGTGCTGTCCAGATTGGCAGGGTTGGTGAGAATGATACAGTAACCTGCTCAGTGAAGCACCTTGGGAAAGAGATACATGTATCTTACAAGCCAGGTATGATTAGCACCTGGCTGACAGAGGTTGGGGGAAAGAGGTGGAAAAGAGAGATGTGTCAGTCTAAAAAGGGGCATCCTTGGTTCATTGAAGGACAGGGATATAGGCTGTGTCTGGGGAGGGTATTACATGGTGCTAAGTAAAGTTTTAAGCTAGGGGAAAGGGTCTGGAATTGGAATGTTGGTCCTAGGATAGATAGGAGTATCCTAGGAAAAGAGATCAGACTGCTAGAGATAGGAATCCTGGTCTGGGGACGAGGTCTAGAATTGAAAGGGGCAGCTAGGATCAGGACATTGTCCTAGTGTGGGAAGGTGGTTCCTGAACTGGGAGAGGGGTAGTCCTGGGCTCACTGAGGAATAGAACTGTTTCGGAGACTGTGTTTCTGGCTTCAGATCATACTGGATCAGACCCTGGGATTGCCCCTGAGCAGGATCTCATAGGTGAGTTAAAGATTCATGGTGAAAAGGCAAAGCTAATGAGACTGAACCAAGAGCCTCATAGGAATGGAAAATGCAACAGTGACTAGAAGGGGAAACTGACAAAGCCTGAAAGTTACCAAGAAGGAAATTTAGCTTTGATTATGTAACAAATAAGTTTCTGACTATTAGGGCTTTTAAAAAGTGGAATGGGTTGTCTGAAGAGGCCATGGGACCACCTCATTGAGTCACTTTCAGCAAAGGTTGGATGAGACCATTTAGGGGTATGTCATATAAGGAATTCCTTCTAGGCACAGGCTGGACAAGTTGGCTACTCGGGTCCTTTCTAAGGGAAATAATCCTGCTAGTTTCTATTTTGTCCTACTTTGATAATGGGATAGCCTAGGGTTCAGAGTGACAATCACTCCAGGTATGGAGTGTGTGATATCCCACAGTCTGGGTGTATCATAATTCAGGGTTCAAAGTGTCTAATGTTACACAGGAAATGTCACATTCCATAAACTGAGCTGAGCCCTCCCTGATCCTTCGTAATTCACACTCTCTCACAGTAATTGCTCCAAACAGCCTGTACTCTCCTCTTCATACCCTTGTCTTCCACAGTTGCAGCAGACATCTTACTTCAAATAGGGCTTGTTATCATTTTCTTTAATCTTCTTCCTTCTGTTTTTCCATCACTATTTCTGTCACTATTACATTCACTTATCCCATGCTAGAATCATTCGAGTTATTTTTGATTCTTCTACCTCATTCAAATTTCATATCACATCCAATATATTCTAACAAATATTTATTGTCCACTCTCTTTGTGCATGACGTTAGGGATTCAGTGGAAAAAATGAAAAATAGTCCTTGCCCTCAAGGGGCTTACATTCTACTGGGGGGCAGGACACACCATACAAACAGATAAGTATTTCTATGATTAGTTGAAGAGGGAAAGAGCACCACTAAATAAGGAGATGAGGCAAGACTTCCTGCTTGAATTGGTGCAAGAGCTGTGCCTTGAAGAAAGCTAGGGATTCTAAGAATGGAGGTGAGGAGGCAATGTATTCCAAACTGAGGGTCAGGTGAGAGGAGGTGGGAGATAGAATACAGGTTTGGTGAACAGCAAATAGGTCAGATGGTTGATACATGGAGCGTGTGAAGGGGGAATAACATGCATTAACTATGGAAAAGTAGATTAGAACTAAATTGTGAAAGATTGCAATTTATCCTGGAGTCAGTAGGGAGCCACTGAAGATTCTTGAGCTGGGAAAATGACATGGTCAGACTTGTGTGTTGGTAAGATAATTCCGACAAGTGTGTAGAGGATAAATTTGAGATGGGGGAAACTGGAAGCAGAAAGATCAATTAGGAGGTTGTTGCCATAGTTTAGGTAAGAAATGATGGGACCCTGCACCAGGGTGGTTCCTGTATGAATGGACAGAAGGGAGACAAAAAATACAGAATTGAGAAGACTTGATGATGGATTGGATACATGGAGGTAAGAGAGAGATAAGAAATTATGATGTTAAGGTTGTGAATCTGGCTTACTAGAAGGATGGTGGTTTCTTAAAATAAGTAGGAAAGTTTAGAAGAAAGGTAAGCTTAGGGGGAAAGGTAATGAGTTCCATTTTAGTCATGCTTGGTTTGGAATGCCTAGGATATACCTAGTTCAGGTGTGAAGAACCTGCAGCCTCAAGGCCACATGTGTCCCTCTAGGTCCTCAAGTGCAGCCCTTTGATTGAATCCAAACTTGGATTCAATCAAAGGGCTGCACTTGAGGACCTTGGATTCAATCAAAGGGCTGCACTTGAGGACCTAGAGGGACACATATGGTCTCATCCTACTTGGAGGCAGATCTAAATTTGAATCTCATCTATGATACCTGTTAGCTAAATGATCATGGGCAAGTCACTCAAACACTCTGAGTCAGTTTTCTCATTGATAAAATGACGGTAATAACTATAGTACCTACTTCATGGTGTTTGGGTGAAAATCTCTTGAGATTTTGTGTAGATTGTTTTGCAAACCTTATAAGCACTACATAAATGTTAGGCAGGATTAATGTTTCTATAGCTTCGGGTGGGCCCCTAGAATCCAGCATGCCTCCCCTTGACCTTGACCATTGCACCCTCCAGGAGGACCTGAGCAAGGGAACAAGCTACTCCTCAGTGTGATGGGACTGAGACTGCTATTTGTGAAGACTGTGGCCATCAATGTCCTCTTCACCACCACGGCCTTGATCTTCTGAGGTAAATGCCTAGCTTTGGCCTATCTTTCCATTCCTTCTGACTTCTCTCAGATAATTAATCCCAGCCTCCTTTCTGTCACCTCAGATTCTCCTCTGTATTTCCAGCTTTTCCTCAGTCCCCATTCTGTCCCCTCAGATTTTTCTCTGGCCTTCAGATCCCTCCTTAGTCCCTTTGCTGTACACTTGTTCATTTCTCACAGAATCCTTTGACTTGTTAGAATTTCTCCATGGCTTCCTCCTCACTCACTATACCTCATTTGCCTTTCAGCCTCCTCTCTGCTCTGATCTCTTCGCTCTCATCACAGACACCCTTTCACCCTCCATCACCTTCACTTCAGGCTCCACTTCACCCTGGTCTCATCTTCAGTATCCCCTCCATCTCCTTGCTTCTCCTTCTTCTTAAGAAAGCTTGACCTTGAGGGGAAGGCTAAGGGGCAGGGCAATGAGTTTGGCATCTGACTCCCTGATTTTTGACTTCTAACTTCTGCTTCTCCAGGAAGAACTTGAGGAAGGTCTAAGAAGTTGCCATTTGGATTCTGAATCTCTCTGAGGACCCCAGAATGACTTCTGGATAAACTCAAGATAACTCCAGAATGACCCAAGGACCCATAATTATTCCAGTTACATTCAATTTCCTTTAAATTGCAGACTCTTCATTCCTGGTCTATATTCCCCATGATATGGTATTCCTCATTTCCTTAGTCCTACAATAAAGACAAGAAAGCCTCGCCTTGCTCTGGGTTTCTATGTATCATCGTGAGGTCTTCAAAGGCCAAGTCCATTTGAATCTTTCAGCTTGGCCTACTGTGATACCCCACTCACTTCCCACCTTCACTATCTTCTTTCTACAGGAGGCTCTGTTTGAGGCTGACAAGGGGATGAATTCATACCAATGGGAACCTGATCATGAGTACCAATAAGAGCTGAGAGTGAGACCCTGTGAATTAATGGAATGATGATGATGATGATTGATATTGATAATAGTAACAGCCAGCATTTATATAGCCCTTTAAGGTTTGCAGAGGGCTTTACAAATATCTTATTTTATCCTTATGACAACCCCAGGAGATAGGTGCTATTATTATCTCTATATTTTGAAAGTGATACAAACAGACTGGCCCAGGGTCACACAGCTAGTAATTGTCTGAGGTCAAATTTGAACTCAGGTCTTTTTGATTCCAGGTTCAATACAGCAAGTTGCTCAGGATGGGAACCTGCTGGTGGAAAGTGTGCTTCACCATCTTCTCTTGTCTGACTCACTATGTCCCTGTCATTGTGCTTCCTCATAGAGCTTCCTTTCAGAGCTGGAAAGTGATCATAGCTGAGTGGTCATTCAGTTGAACCCATACACAAAAGAATCCCCTCTATAACCCATTTAGTAAGTGGCCATCCAGTCTCTGCTTAAAGACCTCCAATGAGAGGCAGTCATTACCTGGTTGGCCAATTCTGGTTTTGGATAATCCTAATTGTTAAAAATTTTCTCCTTCTATCAAACCTCAAATTTCCATTTGGCATCTCCTAGTTTGCCATGTCAGGTCAAAAACAGCACCTTTCCATGATAGCCCTTAAAATAACTGAACATCAGCAATGCTGATATGTCCTAATTTATAGGGTGGCTAGGAAGTAGGTGCTTTGTAAACGCTAACCTGCTACAGAAATAGGAATGATCTCAGGGATTGATCCCTCTCTTGGGCTCCTGATTTCTATTGCTCATTGCCCTTTGGATGTTTCTAGGTGGATATCATCACAGTATTTCAAGGTCAATGGGCCTAAACCTGAACTGATGACCTTCACCCCCAAAACAGCTCTAGACGTTTTATGATTTAGTCAGAAGAAAGCAGAACTGTCACAACCCAAGTAGACATGTATATCTTAGATAGGCACACACGCGCGCACACCCACACACACCCACACATACACACAAACACACCTTGTGCTGATACAAAATATTAAAGGAGTCAAAGGCACCTGCAGAGATCAAACTCTCGGCTTCCTCAGCTTGGCTTCTCTCCTTATCTCAAGAAGCCTTTGTCTTCCCTGGACACCTGTCAAGTACAGGAGGGCAACTGAAGTCTCAACCTAGGAGGAAGCCTGCTGGCCCAGCAGAAAGGGGCCTGCTCAGAGGAGCCTGGAGAGCACCTTCCTGATTCCTTTCTCCTCCCCTTAACAGGAGGAAGTGCTGGCTGTCAGTTAATTTGTTCATAGTCTACCTTCACAAATCAACTTCAGAGGGAAAGCACCCCCCTTGCTTTTTATAAAAGTGCTCTCAAAAAATAGGGACTATATGGGCTATGACCTGGGCTAACTAGACCCTGGGCACAAAAAAAATCATAGCAAAGAATAGTCCTTACTTTAATAGAACATACAAGCTACTGGGGAGGGCCACATAGGGGTGGGTAGGGGGAATGCCACAGATGAACAACATAATGTGAGGGGAGGAAGGGCCCTAAAAATAGTAGACTTTGAAAGCTTTATCCTAAGAGGTGTCACCAGAGATGAACCTTGATGGATATGAAGAACTCTAAGACTAGGAATTTAGGAGTGGGAAACTTTCCAAGCACTGAGGACATCTTGTACAAAGACATGAAGGCAGGAAACATAATACAGTTGTTAGGGAATAGAAAGTAAGCCAGTTTATCTGGAACAGAGTGAGGGAAAGGAAGTGAAATGTCTGATTGTGAAGGACTTTAATTGCTAAGCTGAGGAGTTTGTATCGTATCCTAGAAAGATGGGGAGCCACTAAAACTTCTTGAGAAAGAAGGTCAGATGTGCATTTAACCAAGTTTATTTTGGCAGCTGTGATTGGACTGATTGGAGACAGGAGAGCCTGGGGGGAAGGGGATCAAGTAGGAGACTTTTGTAATATTTCAGGGGGACAGGTTATGAAACCTCAAATGAGGATGGTAGCTCTGTGAGTGGTGATGAATATGAAAGATATTGGGGAAATAGAACAGACAAGACACGATAAGTTATTGGATGAGGTGGTGAGGTTATGCAGAGCATGAAATGTTGAAGAAAGGTCACAAACTTGAATGGCTATGGTCTCAAAAGAAATGGGGAAGTTTAGAGTATGGACAGGTTGTAGGAGAAGGTAATGAGCTCCATTTCAGACAAGTTGAGTTTGAGATACATCCTAGACATCCAAGTGAAAATGTACTTCAGATAAGTTGGTGATCTCTGGAACCTGAGTTTAGGAAAGAGATCAAGGCTAGTTATATAAATTTGAGAGTACTCTGTAAAGAGAGCCTAATTGAGCCCATTGGATTTGGTGATGTCATCCAAAGAGAGATGGTAGAAACAGAAGAGGACCTAGGATAAATTCAGACTTATCTGGGACCAACTATTTATTAGAGAAGTTTTTCTCATCTGCAAAAGGAGGATAATAATGTTTATACTAACTAATCAAAAGGTGGTTGTTGGGAGAACACTGCAATCCTTGAAGCCCTGTAGAAATCTGAGGTATTAGCATCAGTATTATCATTACCTCATATTGGAGCTTGGGAATCTGCAAGATTTCTGCAAAATCATGACAAAACATCCTTTGTGTCCAAAAACACTTGTGATAGTGGGATTGTGACTGGTGGAAACCCCAAATGAGCCTTGCTTTTTTATAGCAAAAATTAATGTGGTGATATTTCCCCCTAGCGGTGGTACTGAGGAAACACCAGGCAATTCATTGGTTGCTGCAACCACCAACATAATATTCAGAAAATCAGTGAGAATCACAAGATCTTTGATCTAGATGTGACCTTTAAGATCACCCTAGGCCTAGGGTGGGGAACCTTTGTATGCATGAGGCCTTAGTTAACTTTAAAATTAAGAAATAATTTTTGTTTTTTAAAATTATAAAGTATATAGTAGTTAGATTTTTACAAAATAATGTACATTTTAAAGTATATCTAACAAGTTTCTTGAATGTGATCTTATTTGATTACAGTTAAATTTCCACCATGAAAAGATTTCCCACTCCTGACCTAGTCCAACCCATTTATTTTATAATTAAGGAAACTGATGGTCAAAGAAGGGAAATGACTTGTCTAAAGTCTCAGAGGCAGTGAATGGTAGGACAAGGACTTGAGCCTAGATGTTTTAGCTCCTCCTTCCTTTATTTGTCCATACTATACCACACTACTTTTGTGGGAAGAGATTTTTTAAAATTAACAATATACAGGCTGTCATTTATGTTATTGACGGTGAAACACAAGCATTCATAATTGCAACACCTAGTTGTTCTGTTGTTTCAGTTATGTCTGACTCTTTGAGACTCCATCTGGCGTTTTCTTGGCAAAGATACTAGAATGGTTTGCCATTTTTCTCCAACTCCTCTTACAGATGAAGAAATGGAGGCAAGCAGGGCTAAGTAATTGTGCCTAGAGTCACGTAGCTAGTAAGTGTCTGAGGCAGGATTTGAACTCAGGAAGATAAGTCATGAGTTGTTGAGGAGACTCAGTAGTACTTGGCATCTGATTGGATGTAGAGCGTGAGGCAAAATAAAGAATCAATGTTCAGGTCTAGAGAAGGAGGACGGTGTGACCAGACATCTCCTATTCCTCTCTAATTTGTTCATGACATGACCTTTGATATAACAATACTAGCTAACATATATAGTTCTTTAAGGTTTGCAAAGCACTTTACACATATCATCTCATTGGATCCTCACAACAACCCTGTGGAGTATTATCATTTTCCTCATTTTACTGTTAAGGAAACTGAGACTGAGAGAGGTCAAATGACTTGCCCAGGGCCAAACATCCAGAAAGTATTTGAGTCAGGATTTGAACTCAAGTCTTCCTGATTCCACGTCCATCATTCTATCCACTATGCCACTTGGGTGCCTCTTTTTCATGTTGGTATAATAAGTCCTTGTGCCAACAGAGTCCTTGTGTCATTGGGTTTAAAATACACTATGTTGTTGTGTTCAATTCCTTCTGGTTCATATTTGTCTAATCTGTTCCACTGAACAGCTTTTATATTTTAAAAAATTTTGAAGTTTAAATTGTTTATTGTGAATTGTTTCAAGTAAGTTTGAATATTTGTGATTGAACTTTTTGAAGCAAGTATTGTTTCAAAGCCAATCTGACTGTTAGTGGCTAAATGGAATGGTGGTGCCAGTCTGAGGTTGGATTTGAACTACTTTGTAATAGTATATTTTGAGGTCTAGTCCTGCCAGGCCCTACTCTTTTTCACCTTTTTTCATTATTTCTCTTGAGTCTTTTTATCTTTATGAATTTTGTTATTACTTTGTCTAGTTCTGTAAAATAAAAGTAATCCTTTGCTAGTTTCATTGTTATGGAACTGATTCTGTATGTCATTCTAAATGGTATTGTCTCTTATATATTTTATACGTGCTGAAGAACTTTGAATGGAATATATTTTTCTATTCTTTCCAGCTGCATTTGATTGCTGATATAGAGAAAACCAACTGTTTTGTGGAATTGTTTTATATCCTGCTGCTTTGCTAAAGTTATTAATTGCTTTTATTAATTTGATTTGAATTTCTGGGGTTCTCTGAGTACACTTAGAATAATTGATGGTTATTGTCCTTTGTTCTTGAAGAGGACCAAAATGACATCCCTATGTTAGAGTCAAGTCACAGTGAGTCCAACTGTGGCTGATCAGACCAATACAAGCTCAGGATTCTCTACCACAGGTTGGGCACAGGTAGCCCATGTGCACATTTGTGGTGGATTCTCTAAATTTGTGCATCTTGCACTTCTTTTGAGCTACTT